TTTTGGTCTGTCGAGTTGGAGGGCATTTCGCCTATTCCCTGGTCCCTTTTCTTAGTTCGTATTATCCACGGGACTTGCTTCTGCCCTACCTGTAAATTTCTATGAAGCTTCGACATTGCTGGATAACCCATTTTGGTCACCTGGATTCATAGGCCTTCACAGAGGCCTGTACATTCTTAACTGAGTACGATTCGGTGCCCCCCCAAGCCGGGATAAACCTAAATTTACCTTCCTTAAAACTCGACGGCACCCAAGAAATCAATATATTTTTTTATTGGCCAACCAACTTCGCAAATCGTTCACATCGATTTGTTTATTCCCTACAATCATTTCCCTCTTGGCTTAGGCATCCCTATAGGATAGTCGAATGTGAGCAAGCATTGTCAAAACATAAAGATATAGTCCGCAGTAAGCAAATGGGTGGAGATACACAATCGCACCATTCCCATTGGTGTCCCCATTGTCCCTCTACGGTTTTTGCGGCAACGTGAAGGACAAGTGCCAATAAAGCAGGCATACTGAGTCCCGCACATTACTCTGCCCGTTCGATTATCGCTGAATGTGCTTTGAACCGGATTTGATACACTTCGAAATAGATCAGTACACCAGTAACTTTCTACCCTGAAAATATTAGGTAATGTTTTTATTGTCAAATGAAGCCAGGAGCCTCACACTACCACCACCTATGTAGTTCCTGTATGTATGTTCTCATTTACCGCCCAGACGTCTTTTCAGGGAGGACCAGGAGCATCCAGCACGGGTTTTGGCAATTTTGAAGAAACAGGACCAAAAATGATGAACTCAACGGACAATATGGCCACATGGGTGCAGATCATGAGTTCATTTATCGTTCTCATTTCTACTTAAAATTTGTTTATCTCAGCTCCAAGTTGCTGATTTGGTTTATGTGGACAATCCAGTGGGAGCTGGCTTCTCCTATGTCGACGAAGAATCGGCGCTGACAACAGATGTTGCCCAAATTGGGCAAGATTTGTTGGCATGGCTGCGTTACTTCCTCGTTCTGCACTCCGAATACCGTACCAGACCGTTTTTCATATTTTGCGAAAGCTACGGTGGAAAAATGAGCGCCGAATTTGCTCGAGTTATTACTCAGGTGAGTTCTAGTCAGTAAGAGCCTTGTTCGGAGACATTGTGAATTCTCCCTGAAGATATTTCTATACAGGAGGTTGCTGCTGGTACCATTCGGCTAGATTTTCGCGGAGTAGCACTCGGTGATTCATGGATTTCGGCTATGGATTACGTGAACACGTGGGGCGAATATCTCTACGCGAATGTGAGTAAGCTTCGCACTTCTTCGCCAGTGGGGTTTACTGGTTTTGGCGCGGCATCTGCTCCTGTTTGTTCTGTGCTAGACTTAGCGTTTTCTTTCACTTTTACCAGTTTTCGAAGCTTTCTCTCGACGTGCATCAATTTGAACAGGGAAAGCAAAGTAGGGAAATAGCTCCTCAGCCTCTTGGTACCTCCCTTTA